CCCCGCGTTCATTTCAGGTGCCCGCATGCATTTTCACAAGCAATAAAAATCATTATTCCAACAAAAAATGTCACTGTCAATTGAACTCAGAACAGCAACATTTCAACATTTTTTTTTTCACAGGCTGTATGCAATGGCTGCCAAAATGAAAGCAAGTCAGTCTGACTGATGCAGTGACAGAGTGGCACTTACTACTCCCTCCCCAAATGAAACTATGTGCATATCCAGGATTCTAAATTCTAAACTTTAATATTCATATTGACGCCCGCTGCTTTTTCTTGTAAATTCAAATGTGCCCTTGGGCACACAAACATTTGGAACGCCTGGTATGGAGGTGAAGGAAGAGGGAGTAGGTGAGGGAAAGGGAAGAGGATGTTGGAATCATGGAAGCAGGACTTCATTTCTGTAGAAGTCTTTGTCTTCTATAGAGACTTACCTCTCTCTTGTAGCTGTGTTGTACAGTGTTAGGATAAAAAGTAGCAAGCTTGTCTTAGTTGGTATATACAGTATTAATGATAATATGGCACAGTAAATAACACTCAGAGTTGCACCTGAATAAAATGTCATCCCTCTTTATTAGGAAAATGTTGGTTCTTAAGCAGGTGTAGGTTACTATATTCCACCCTCTCAAACCTTTATCTTCTTTCAGTTTGAATCTTTAACTGAGTGACTTTACATTTTCTGTTTTGTATCTTTTTGCTTTAAAAATAATACAATAATAGTATTAAGTAGTAGAACATTCCTGGAAGTGTCAGCAGTCAGTTTGTGTTCACATGTATATAATCAGAAACCAAGTATATATTTGAATGACTTAAACTTTTTTTTTTAAATTAAAACAACTTTTAAATATAATCCTATAATTCTGTTTTGCTTATTTGGGTTTTAAATTACACTGCAGATGTAAGAAGAAAATTTAAACCATCATAACAACATTCTCATTGCTTAGCTTATTTGCTGAAAATTGAGTGGGCAAAATGAGAATTGTGGTCATTTTATTTTTCTGTCTCTTGATGAGCTGCCTCATCTAAAGAAGGGTAATTATGATTGAAACTAGGTTTCTATAATTCTTACAATGTATTATTGGTATGATTTTCCTTGAAATCAAGGTGGTGTAAGTTCATTTAGGAGCTATTTTATTAGACTCTGCATACAGTGTTTTACCTTTTATTCTGTAATTTGCAGTTTGATCATCTACTGTGTATAGTCAAGCTCAGTTTTTGCTTCAGACCTTTTTGAAATATAGAAAAAACTTTAAGGTGTGAAAAGTATTTTAAAAGGCATATAACCAGAGCTATTCTACTGCATATTTTAAGTACTAACTCAAATCACCAAGCAGCAAACCTTGATTTAAATATATAGTCTTTTTGGCTTCTTTAACGTATGATATGTATTTAGCTGGAAATTAGAATTCAATTCAAATTCACAAAAAAACCCAGCTTTTTTAATAACTTAAACAGAACTACCTTAACTGTAGTTCATACATGGGGTGGAGGGGAAGGGGCATGATATACTATTGAGCTGAATTTAGTTGAATAAACTGAAATTTAAAACATTCTCTCTTCACTTGCACAAGAGACTGCTGGTTTCAAAAGCTGATTTAGAACTTAAACCCTGCTTCCAGGTGGTCATCCAGTAACTTCAACCAGTTCAGGGCTTTAACATTCTTTCAAATGTAGGCAACAAATATGTACTACTTGAATTTTTTTTCCAGTGTAACTTAGAACCAAAAAATACCATAACAGCCCCTTAGCAAGATTATCTAAATATAGTATAATACAGAATTGCCTTCCTAAAATGATTTTATTTAATTGCTTGTCTTATTTTTAAACAGGGTTTGTGGATGCACTTAGATGTTTGCAATGAGCACTGTGGCTGGCATGCCCCAGTGTTTTGGATACCAATGCATAGGACTCCGTAGTAATCGAATTTATCAGAAACGAACGTCATGAGCATAGTGATCCCATTGGGGGTTGATACAGCAGAACCTTCTTATTTGGAAATGGCTGCAGGCTCAGAGTAAGTATTTAAATATAACTAGTAAGTTTACTATTTTTTATTTTTGTGTGGGGACACTTTGAAAAGAACTGAACATGACATCCAAAAGCTTCTTAATTGTATCTGAATTTTAACAGTTATTTATATTCCTCTACTGTAGCTTCATGTCTGAAGTTCAGTGGCCCCTCCTTTGGTGAGTAAAGGACTAGTGAAAGAACAGTATTTTAACACACTTTTGGTTTATCACAAAAGAATTTATTAAGTCATATAGTTAGTACTTATCATTTTTATTTCCTTCAGGTTTACAGTGATATTTTTGGTTGTATTTTAGAGACATTATATAATTCAGTATGTCAAAGAAGAAACAATTATGAGAGATGGTGATAATCGTGAAGGGGCACATTCAAATAAAATGTTCATAGTTAAGCTTGCATTTTTGCAATAATGCACCAGTATAAAAGGTGACAATACATTTTTTTTTTTTTTTTTTTTTCTTTCCCAATATTTGTTTTTCAATTTGGCATCCATCGTTTTGGCTTATAGCTGAAGTGGTTAGCTTAAATGGTGCCAGATTGGAAAACTATTTTGTCAGGAGTGCTTCGGACTGGTTGGGATGAAAGACAGTAAAAAATAATTCCATGCAGTACGAAGTAGTGTATATATATGTATCATCTTGGTATGTCTAGAGATAGTTTTTGTTGTCAACTTTTAGCTTTAGCAGGGTTTTATAAAATTTTAACGTGTCTTTTTGGGGGCACAGAAATATTCTAGTTTACAAGAGTTATAATTATAAAATATTCTAGCCCACAGTGTAGCACAGGGGTCAGCAACCCCTGGCACATGTGCCGAGCATGGCACGCAAGGTCATTTTGCTTGGCACGCCACCGCCAGCCTGGGCCGTAAGCAGCTGCTGCCAGCCATGGAGCCCAAGCTGCTCCCAGCAGGTGGCTGGGAGGCCACAAGCCCTGCTGCAAGCATATCGGGCTCCATGGGCCAGCTGCAGCTGGAAGGCTGTGAACAGCATTCCAGCACCTTCCAAGGTAGTCAATGTGGTTTTTTTGGCACTTCAGCCAAAAAACATTGCCTACCCCTGGGTAGCATATACATATTGGCCATGATTTAAAGAAAATGGAGTGGTTCAGTACCTTTTGGTCATCGGATCATTTATTTGTGAAAATTTGTTCATGGAAAACATAGTTAAAATCCAATAAGATTGGACTTAAAAACCTGTTTTATGTCTCTTGCTTTTGAAAGAGTTTACTTTTTTTAAAGTTCCTGGTAGAATATCTGTTGGAGACAATGAAATATAAAATGTTCTTAATCTCTTCTTTAGTCTTTTCTCCCACCCATTTTAACTCCTGAACAAATATTCAAGTTTTCATGTGTTTGGATAGTATTAAGAATATATTTGCATGGTTTAGATGTTTGAACAGTAAACTAGAACTTGTTTTCACATCACTTTTTTTTTATACTAGAGGTCTCCTTTAAAAAAACAAAAAAGCAACCTTCATGAAGTAATAACTTTTTAATTTAAGGTCACTGGGGGTCTCTTGTTTGATTTAGTTGAGACATCAAGTTACCTTTTATAAACTTTTTATAAATGGCTTTTGTGTGAAGCCTTTTAGTGTCACCTTTAAATCAGGGGTGGGCAGTTATTTGGTCTAGAGGGCCACTTAAGGAGTTTTAGTGAGCTCTTGCAAGAAGGGTGTTGGGGGGGGAACTGATTCAGCCCATCCACGTCGCACTCACTGCTGGCTGACCCTATCTGGGCCCATCTACCCTGTATCCACCACTGGGGGTGCCAGACAGTGGGTGGGTGGGGTATCCATGGAGACAGGCCCAGGACCCCCACAGGCAGGGTGCTCTCAGCCAAGCAGATGGGATGGGCCATGGGTGGCTGTAGATGGGTGGGCGGGGCTAGGATTGTGGGGCAGTGACAGCATGGGGCCAGGGCAGAGCTGCGATGCACTCCCTGCGTGTCCCTGCCCATGGAACTGGCACTCATTGCAGGGACATGTGGAAAGCATATTGCCACTCTGCTCCAGGGACCCTGTTCCCAGATGCCACTTCTTGCCTGACCATGGTCCTATCCCATCTGCCCAGCCAAGTGTATCCTGCTCACAGAGGTCCCGGACCAGTGTCTATGGAGACCGTACCCACTCTACCTGGCACCCCTAGCAATCTGTCTGGGGTGCCTGGGCAGCAGGGCTTGTCCCGGCAGCAGTGAAGACACTGGCAGCAGTAGCTGGGCAGAGTGAGCTGCCACTGTGGGGGCTGCCAGGAAGCTGAGTCCAGCCCCTACCCTGTCCCTACCCTGCCATTTGTCTGGGGGCAGCAGAGCCAGCCATACGCACCACGACTCATGCCACAGCCCTGCTGCCTTGGCAGGGCCAAGGGGCCCGCTGCAAACCAGATAGACTCTCTTGATGGGCTGAATCCAGCCCCCAGGCCATATTTTGCCCACTCCTGCTTTAAATAAAGGAGAATTATTTTTTCTTTTTTAAAGGGAGGCTTCTAGGTATCCAGAAAAGAAATGCTTTTCTGGTGCTGAACAAGTTCTAAGGAACTGAAGATAACTTTCAGCTCTTTCTACTCTCCTACAATGCTGTGGATGTGTGTCTGTGTTCAAGAGGCATGAGGTGTCTGTTACTACAGAAGTTCATCAGTAGTGCCACCAACACGTACACGGTGTTTCATCACTAACTGCTGATACAGTTATGAACAAGGATTCTCGTTTTCTCTGATTTAAAAAAAAAAAAAAAAATCCCCAACTTTCAGATTAGAAAAGTAACCCAAAATCCACGTTTTTCTGTGATTAAAATAAAACACTGCTATAGATCGATCTATCAATCTATCTTTAGTGGTGTTTCATTTTAATCACAGAAATATGTGGATTTTGGGTTACTTTTAATCTGAAAATTGGGGAGTTGTGTTTTGTTTTTGTTTTTTTATCAGAGAAAATCAGGATCCCTGATTATGAAGGGACTGGAAAAGTTGAAGGACAAGATTGTAAACTGCTTGTCAGTTGCTTTCTAGGGCACCTAGGATAACTTAAAACCTGCTAGTGTTTGCTCAGAATGTGAAAATGCTATTGGCTCTGAATTTGCCAGTGATTACACTTGAAGAAAGTTAATCAAGAAAAAGTGGAAGAAAGTCTTCCCCATCTGAGAAGACTGTTAACAAAAATTAGGCAGTAGCATCTTTCAGCAGATTTCCCTCCTGTAAAGGTAGTACATGTACTCTGAGTGAAACAAATCTGGGAACCACTTAAATCTGGCTTGCAGTTGTTGATCTCTTGATTGAGTCATCAGATGAACAATTCATGGATGAAAGAAGTCATGAAGAGCTCTGCTTCAAGACTAGATGGCCCATTGGTCCCACATGGTTGAGGTCCTCAAACTAGTGGCTAGCATGGGCATGACATGGCCAGAATCATGTCTGGTGCCTGCCTTTGATTCTCTAGCCTGAATGACTGGTACCCATTTACAGCTGGACTGGTGACCAGATCAAAGTCTGAATTTAACACACAAGGGAGGGGAAAACCTTTAAATGTATAGAAAAAAAGGAAAAAGCCAACAGTTTCATTTAGTTGTCTTGAATCATTCTGGGGGAAATCGTGTGGGGGCTAAAAACTAAGTTGTTTTATTTCAATATATGACTGGGGGGGAGAAATAAAGCATAATTGCCACATGAATTTACTGTGATATAAGAATCCCTGGTGATGTCAGTCTAAAATTTCCCATCTCTGTTTTTTCAGAGACTGACATGTCAGATGGAGACGGTAGAGGGTCCAGAGGCAGGCAACAAAAATGATAAAGGGTTTGAAAAACAAGCCATATGAGGTGATGTTGAAGGAAATAGGTATGCTCAGCATGCAGAAAAGGTGCTTAAGAGAGGGCATGACAGCAGTCTTCAAATACATGAAGGGCCACCATAAAGAAGATAGGGAACACCTTTTCTATCTTACTGCAGAGAGTAGGATGCAGACTATTGACTTCCAGCAGCAAAGTTTAGATATTGGATATTAGGTGTGGGGGTAAGAGGGGACTTCTTCAGTGTTAAAAAGGTGAGGAATTGGACTAGACTGACTAGGAAAACTGGGATTTCCATCATTGGCAAAGTTCCTTGAAACCATTAGGTGTTGGCTGCAGCTGAGGCTGGGGATTTTGACTGGGGAGTGCCAGTGTTCCTGCAGGAACTTAAACCTGAAGATTCCTGGCTAGAGGGTTTGTCCCTTTGCTCAAGGTCAAACTGATAGCTCCATTCGGAGGAGGGAAAGAATTTTGCCCCATGGTCAGATTGATCCAACCGTAGGATTTTGCCTTCCTCTGTAGCGGGAAGTGTGGTCCTCTTTCTTGGATTTCTTGAACATATTTTTAATTCTTGTAGCAGCAGGATGCTAGCTGCAGTTGTATCTTTGTTTTGCCTGTGGCAGGTTAGCGTGCTATCTATTCTTTTCAGCTGTGTGGCAGGTTTAACTGTGTAGTTTTAGTAATTGGTTAGACAAGGATTTGTATGGGATGGTTTGAATAGAGATGATCCTGCCTCAAGCAGCAGGCTGGACTAGATGACCTTCAGAGATCATTTTCAGCACTACTTTTCTACAATTCAGTAACAAGAAAACAACCTTACTAAATGCACCTTTCCAATGAGGGGTGAGTTGGACCAATTTCCCATGACAGTCATTTGGTTCCGTATTCTAAGTTGCTATGTGTGGAAAAACATAATGTGAAAATAGCACACCCGGTAAAAGGAGAATAAGGCATTGATAAAGGAGACATGGAAATATCCAAGCAGAGGGCTGAAGCAACAAAAAAGAAGAATGATGTAATTGGATACTAGAACAGCACACATGAAGCCACATATATAAATTAGCTTCAAAGTGAAGAATGTGGAAAAAGTGTTCTGGGTATTTTTAATTTTTCAGCAGGGGGGAAAAAAGTGAAAATAAGAGTTTTCTTCAGTACTTATACCTAATTGAACACTAAGGTATTTCCTCATGGTACCATATTACTACAGGG